GCGGGAGCCCCAGGATGGTCCTGGGCTCCCGGCCTGAGCTGGCTGGTGGGTACCTGGGGGTCAGAACGGAGGAGGCACCTGGAAAATGCCCCCTGGCTAGGAAAGCCAGGCACAGAGGTTTGGGGCTCCGCCGAGCTGACCCCATCCGAAGCTGTCTCTCTGGGAATGTCGAGATTAGCGCTCAGAGAAGGCAAGGTGCTGGTGGGTTGCAGAGCGGGCACTAAAAGGGCGGCTACCGCACGTCGTTGGGAAGAGAGCAGAGGCGTTAGAGCTTGAGGGATTTCGAAATCCCTGCTGACCAGCGGTCTGCTTCCTCCTTTTGGGCTGGCGGGCTCCGTGCCATTGACCCCCGTGATCATGGACAGAACCCAGTGGATCCCGTGAGCCCCAAGACTCATCCTCTTTGTGTGGTGTCATCCAAAAGCCCAGAGCACCCCCACACAGTGCCAGCTTTTGTTCCCACAGTTTGGAGACCCTGATACACCCACTTTCCTACCTGCACTCTGCGTGCCCGCGGCTGCCTGGCAAGATGAAGCCTAAACTGATGTATCAGGAGGTAGGTGGATGGGGCCCCAGTGGGGAGGGACTGGGTACAGTGGAGAGTAGGGGCCCCCATGTCACCCCCAAACCACCTTGTTGTTCCCCAGCTGAAGTTGCCTACTGAGGAGTCCGTCGGGGAGCTGCCCATGAATGAGATCGAGGCATGGAAGGCTGCCGAGAAGGTAGGAGCCCGCGGCCACGCTGGGTCTGTCTCAGGCATGGACCGGGCTGTGCCCCCTGGGCTGGCTGACCGCCTCTTCCCACAGAAAGCCCGCTGGGTCCTGCTGGTTCTCATCCTGGCTGTTGTGGGTTTCGGTGCCCTGATGACTCAGCTGTTCTTATGGGAATACAGCGACTTGCATCTCTTTGGAGCCAACCAGCCCCCAGCACCCTGCTATGACCCCTGCGAGTAAGTGGGGAAGTAGAGAGCCTGGGATGGTGGGGGAAGAGCCCTGACAAGCGAGGGACTCTTAGACACACCAGGAAGGGCCTGCCGTCAGCATCACCCGGTGCCCATGACTGTGAGGTGGTTGCAGACTCCCAAGTGCACCACAGGCTCTTCCCTCCGTGCCCACCCCCATCCCCTGACACTGTTCCCATGGCAGCCACAGCATCATCTTCTGTCCAGGTCTGTGAAGAGACAGGCACACACAGACACACACTGCATCATCTGTCCACATCTGTGACAGGCATCCACACGGACATCCACATACACACACAGACACACACTGCATCATCTGTCCACATCTGCGGACAGGCATCCACACGGACATCCACATACACACCTTCCTTTCACACCTCCAGGTAGACAAAGGCATGAATTCAGAGAATCATGACTACAGGCACGCACAATACAGTCTTCCATCCTGGGTGGGCAGACAGGTGAGCTGGGGGTCTGCTATGCCTGATACCAGCCGCCCCTCCCCCGTCCTGCAGAGCAGTGCTGGTGGAGAGTATCCCCGAGGGCCTGGACTTCCCTGAGGCTTCCACTAGCCACCCCTCCACCAGCCAGGCTTGGCTGGGCCTGCTCGCCCGGGCCCACAGCAGCCTGGACATCGCCTCCTTCTACTGGACCCTCACCAACAATGATACCCACACTCAGGAGCCCTCTGCACAGCAGGTACCTGGCAACCCGGGCCCTGGTGGGAAGCAAGAGGACAGTGGGAGGCATTAGGAGTGGGGGTGCAAGGGGTTTTCCTGCAGCCCAGGAGACAGGTAGGCATGTCTCATTCAACGGGTTGGACACAGGTGTTTGGAAGCAACTGTCTTCACATGGCCCTCTGGACCGGGGGTGTTTGTCCCCGTCCTCTGTCGGCCTCTGAATGTCGGGTGTGGGTTTGGTTATGAGGGAGTAGGCTGGCAGATGTCACTTACTCACAAGCTGCCCCGACCCTGTCACCCCAAGAAATGGAAGAGCCGAGTGAGAAACAGCCCAGCCTCTAGCCAGGCTGCCGCTTCCCCTGGGCAGGTCACTTCCACTCTCAGGCTTCAGTTTCCTCACCTGTGGAATGGGGCCAATGTATAGCACCCACCCCTTATGAGGATGGAATGGGCTAATCATGCAAATTATAGCGTGGTGCCTGACACAGTCAGCCCTTTATAAGCATTTGTTATTAGTATATTCTTGTTGTGGTTTGCAGACAAACTTAAAAACCATAAAGCTTCAAGGTTTGGGAAGGAGCAGTCTAGGTGGATCACCCCTTCGTTGAAAATCACAGAAGTTTCCCCCCCTTTTTTTTCTCTTTCTGCTGCCTCTTTCTGTGAGAAATGGGCTTAAAATTTATTTCCACTGTGGGGCTCCTTAAGCACTACCTGAAAAAAATTACAAAAGTTAGAAATGATAGGTACTCGCACTCCTTGCTGCTCCCACTGGAGTGGTTCAAAGCGCAAGCACAGGCCTGGGAGGCAGACAGCCTGGGTTCGAGTCCTGCTTCACCACTGAATCCTCCGGCGCTGCTTCCTCATCTGCAGCTTCCTCGGGATGGTACTCAGACTTGCCCCCTCAGTGAGAGAGGTGAGAATTCAGTGAGTTCAGACGTGAAGGGACTTAGAACAGGCCCCTCTCAAGTAGGAACTAGGGAATCGTGGGCTGTTACTATTACTGTTATTGGCATCACCAAGCCTCACCTGTACCTTCCCAGGCCCCCAGCCTAAGCCAAACCCCCAGTATCCTGTAAAGTGCCTGGAGGCCCCTATGGTACCAGGCATTGACACTTCCAAGGTAGGATCTTGGGAAGGTCCCTGGAATGGCACGGGAGTGGCAGGGAGGCCCTGACGAAGCTCAGAGCGGCCAGTTATTAAAACAAGTAAAGGTTTTAATATCCTAACCTGTAAAGCCATCCCTGGGCATACTGGCTAATGTAAAGCCTGCTCACTCCTGATCTCATCTGGAAGCCCAGTATCAAAACAACCCCATGGGGTGCTGTGTGGGGCTGGAGAGCTGGCTGGACCAGCCCCTCAGAGGCTCTGCTCTTCCCCATGCCCCCCTCCCAAGGGTGAGGAAGTCCTCCGGCAGCTCCAGACCCTGGCACCTCGAGGTGTGAAGGTTCGCATTGCTGTGAGCAAGCCCAGCGGGCCCCAGCCCCAGGCGGACCTGCAGGCCCTGCTGCAGAGCGGTGAGTTGTGGGGAGCTGGGTGCAGGCTGGGCTGGGCTGTCCAAGCCAGCCCCTGACCCCCACTCCTGTCGGTTGCAGGTGCCCAGGTCCGCATGGTGGACATGCAGAAGCTGACCCATGGCGTCCTGCACACCAAGTTCTGGGTGGTGGACCAGACCCACTTCTACATCGGCAGTGCCAACATGGACTGGCGCTCCCTCACCCAGGTCTGCCTGCACCCTGCCCACCCGCCTTTCCAGACCACTCCCCGCTCCACAGGTGCCCAGCCTCCAATGACACCCTCTTCAATCCCAGAGTTCTCTCTCCAGTCCTCAATGGCTTCCTTCCCACTCTCTACCAGGAAAGTCCCCAAATCCAGCCCTCTACTGCCCTCCACCTGTCATGGAAGCTTGGGGCTTCCTCTGGTCCCCAGTGACAGCGGCCAGGCCCTCTCCAGGGCATTCAAGGCCCAGTCCACCCATTTGGGCTTCATTATTCATTCTCTGATGCCTCCTCTAAGCCCAGCTCTGCTCTGGGTAACGCTGGGAACACGGAGGTAGCAGATGGACTACCCAGTGCAGAGACAGGCCAGTCACCAGGTAGTGTCGGCCCAGAGGAGTCAAGGCTCGGATGGGGGAAGCACAAGCAGAGAGGTCTGAGCCAGGAAGGGGGCCCCAAGCTGAGGTATCAGAAGGGCTCTCAGAGGAGGAAATAACTAATCTGATAACTGAAGGATCTGTAGGAACCAGCACAAGACAGGATAGAGGGCATAGCTCAGGCAGTGATCATTTGCTCAGCCCCTAATCTCACCAACTCCTTGGGGAGATGCTGAACATACAGCTGTGGCTGAGACATCCCTGCTGTCTTTCCTCCCAGTCCAATGGGGAGATGGGTTTGCTACCAGAGAGAGTGATGAGGGAAACCCAAGGGGCCGTGAGAGCCCAGAGGAATGCCTGAAGCAGTCTGGGCAGTCAGGGGAGGCTTCCTGGAGGAGGAAACTGTCAGCTGAAACCTAAGAATAAGCAGGAGCTCCCTCATTGGAGGGTAGAAGTGACAGCATATGCAACGGTTCAGGAAACCTGGAGCTTTGGAGCGACATTGATTTTCATAAAAATTTGACTAAAGATATTAGTCTTGAATCAAGTTCATGCCCATTCCAGGGCTTTAGATG